AATAGTTTTCTTTTTCCTTTTGTCTTTTTGCTTAACTAATGAATTTGACTTATCTCTTTGCCAGGTTCCACTAATCTCTATCTCTGGTTCCAACTTCTCGATCAAGATTTAATCTATTATTTTTAATTTTCTAGAGGAGCAGAAGAGTTGGTAACTCTACTGTCATCTTAAATTTGAACCTAAAGCCTCTTCTCTTTTTCTAGCACCACCATTTCTCCAAGTGTATAATCTAAAAAGTTTGGAGTAAAAAATAATTTTTGCTGGCTCAGTAGGATGGCACCGGCAGTAAAAAAAACATTGTACTCAGTACTGGAGCCATTTGGGACCATGTAGCCATGTGGGACCCAGCCTCTTTAGCCACCACACCATCAGCTGGTTCTTAAAACGTTTTAGTGGGGGGGCCAACAGGTAGTGTAGTGGTTGAGGTGCTGGATTTTCATGTGGCTGACCACCGTTTGAGTCCTGGACCCAGTGGCTTGAAACTTACAGTGGCCATGGGTATGTGCATGCCCAAAATCCCGAGAAGAAAATAGTGAAGAAGGGATTACAGCATGGCCATCCCACCGGGGGTAGGGGTGGGGGTGATTTCTCTTTCTCTCTGTGTCTCCAGCAAGCACATGTACCCTATAGAAAAAAATCTCTTTAAAAAAAAAAAAAAAAGCTTTTTAGTGGAAAATTTTAAACATACCAAAGTCAAGACAAATAAGATAAAGGAACCGACAAGTGCTCATCCCTTATCTTCCTCACATGCAGTTGTTTCTCCTATAGTCTCTACTCACTGTCCATCCCCACCTAATTTCAAAGGTGGCATTATATTTATAGCAAATCAAGAGGAATTTTTAAAGACTAATATTTCCATTATGAAGAAACTTTCTTGAAGTTTACTATTTTCATTAGTTTCTGCATTTAACTTCAAGCAGTATTAGACTTAATTCTTTCTATTGAAATAGAATTTTTGAAAAACAATTATTTTCTATATATCTAGTTATCTAAATAAAGTATAGAAAAATCTGGAATGATGATCATTATGTCAATGATGGTTATTTCTGGTGGTGAAATCTGGATAGGTTTTAAAATTCTCTACATTTTCCTATATTAATTTTTTCTAAAGTGTTACATACTTTTTATTATAGTAATAAGCTATCTTTAAAAGTTGAAGAAAAGGGGCCAATTTGCAGCATGGTGCTTAAGGCAGCTGGATCAATCACCACATGGCAAACTCTGTGGTTTGAAAAACACACCCAGCACATGTGCATGTATACCCAAAATCCCCAGAAGAGAATGGAGAAGGGACTACAATGTGGCCATTCCCCCTGGGTGGGGGGGAGGTGATTTCTCACTTTTCCCCTCTCTCTCTTTCTCTCTTTTTGTCTCTCCCAGCAAGTGCACTTGCCCTGTAGCTAAACTAAAAAAACAAACAAACAAAAAACCTTGAAGAAAATGTAATTATAATACTAAGATTCTGTGTAACTTATAAGGATTTTAACTTTCAGGGTACAGTTCTACCTCAAGAAATAAGTCAAGTGAATCAACATCATAAATCTGGCTTTCATGACAACAGTGTTAAATATCAGCAAAAAAAACATGATTCTCACAGAAAACGTAAGTTTTAATTTAGAAGGATATACTTGTGTGCTTTTTATTTTTTAAATAAACAGCTTTATTGAGATATAATTTAGTCACTGTAAATTAAATTAATCATTTTAAAGAGCATATACTGATTTTTTTGGCATTTCTATAAAGTTGAACAAAGAACATCACCTAATTTTATAACATTTTTATCACCCCAAAAAGAAACATATACCTGTTAACACAGGCCCTGATGACCATTAATTTACTTTGTATCTCTATTGATTTGCCTGTTCTGGACATTTCTCATAAATGGAATCAGAATCTATGTGACCTTTTGTGACTGGCTTCTTTTAGGAATGTGGTATAATGTTTTCAAGGTTCATTTTTAGTGTATCAATACTTCATCCCTTTGTATAGATGAATAATATTTCATTGAATTAATACTACATTTTGTTTATCCTTTCACATTGATAGACATTTCCACTTTGGAAGTATAATGAATAATTGTGCTATGTACAAGTTGCCGTGTTTACATAGGGCTGCGGTTCTCTTGAGTACACACATGAGTAGAATTGCCTAGTCATTTGGAACTCTGTTTTACTTTTTTTAGAACTAACAAACCATTTTCCAAAGTGGCTATTCTGTTTTTGCATTTGTACCAGCAACATGCTTGGGTCCAATTCCTCTACATACTCCACAACAACTTGTCCCTCTTTTTGGTGATAGCCATCCTAGTAGGTATGAAATGAAAGCTGCTTATGATTTTCATTTGCAATTCATTGATGCCTAATAACATTGGGCATCTTTCTATGTGCCATGTATCTTTTTAGATAAATGTCTTTCCACATCTTTGGTTCATTTTTTAATTTTATTATGTTTTTAGTCTTTTGTTTGTTTGTTTGTTTTTGTTTCTTTTGTTTGTTTTTTGTTTGGGTTTGGTTTGGTTTTTCTAGAGAGGTTTTTGCTATAGGGCACGTGTGCTCACCAGAAAGAGAGAGACAGAAAGCAAGAAATCACCCCCTGCCCAGGGGGGAATGGCCACACCGCAATCCCCTCTACTCCATTCTCCTCTCAGGATCTTGTGCACGCACGCACATGCGCCCAGTGTGAGTTTAAGCTACCATGTCCGGGACTCAAATCGCAGTCAACTGCATGGGAGTCCAACCATGTAGCCATTACACCAACTGCTGGTCCCTATTCCTTATTTGTAAGAGTTCTTTCTATATCCTAGATACTACATGCTTTTTCAATCTGCAAATATGTCTCAGATTCTGTGGTTGTGTTTTAACGTTCTTGTAGTGTCCTGAAAGCACCAAAGGTTTTAATTTTGATGAAGTCTAACTTATATATTTATCCTATGTTTTCTTTGGTTGTTTATGCTTTAGGTGTGTTAGCTAAGAAACTATTGCTTAATTCAAGACCACAAAGAGTTAAATCTTTACTTTCTTCTAAGGGTTTTATAGTTTTGACTCTTCTGTTTAGATCTCTTTCCATTTCAAGTAAATGTTCATGTAGGATATGAAGTAGAGTGGTCCATATTCATTCTTTTGTGTGTGGATATCTAGTTATCCCAACATCATTTGTTGAAAAGTAAAAAATTTATTTTTTTCTCATTAAATTATCTTGGAACCCCATTGAGTATTCTTGTAAAACATCAATTTTCTATAAGTATATGGATTTAATTTTTAATTTCATTCAGTGTGTCTAAATACTGTTTTTAGGCAAACAACACACTGTCTTGATTACTATACCTTTGTTGTAAGCTTTAAGATTTTTAAGTTTGCATCTTTGGACTTTTTCTTTTTCCAGATTATTTCTCTGTTTTGGGTCCTTTTATGTCAATATGAATTTTATGATCATGTTGTCTATTTCTGGAAAAAAAAAGGCAGCTGGAATTTTAATAGGGATTGCATTGATTCTGTAAATTACTTTGAATAATACTGTCTTCTTAACAGTATTAAATCTTCTTGCCCATGAACATAAGATGTCTTTCCATTTATTTAGGTCTTCTTTAATTTATTTCAATGGTATAGTTGTCAGTGTACAATTCTTGTACTGTTTTTGTTAAATTTGTTCTTAAGAATATTTTTTAATACTACTATTAATGGAACTGTGTTCCTAATTTTATTTAGGCATAATAAGAGAGGAACAGCAATACCTGTAACGATATCCTGTGAGAAAAGTTACGTGACTGTGATCTGTCTCTCTCAAAATACTGTTTTGTCCTGTACTCACGTACTTTTGAATCTTTGGTAACTGAAATCATGGAAAATAGGAGACTACTATATATATTTCCCACTTTTTATTTTCTTTTAATTTATAGTCTGTTTGTTAGTTTTGAGCTTTATTTTCTACAATGAGATTGAAGAAATGTTGAACATTTAAAGAGAGATTTGACTTGATAATGTCTGAACTCTAGTAATGTTACATATGGCTTAACCTGTGCTGTAAGATGATCCAAGTTGGGATTCTTAAGAAAAAAAGTAAAAATATGTTTGTGAAAAACACTTATGAGAACTTACAAATAGAGGACTTCAGTGTCTTCAAGAAGGATAGAGGGAAAGGAGATGTTCTTCTTCTGTGTGTCTTTAGCAAAGGGGTTGCATTCTAAAGTTTAGGTGAGAGTTAAAAGAATTTGGCTTGGATGAGACCCCAGCAGCTTGAAAAATATACAAAACATGCATGCATTCTTTTTTTTTTTTTTTTGGAATTAAAATACAAGTTTATTTTTGTCCAAAAATAACTGAAATCCATACACAGTTTTTACAATACACATTTCCATAAACTTTTTGAAAATTCCTTGTATATAATCTTTTATTTATTTATTTTATTATTTTTAGCTTGTTCTTTTCTTTCTTTTTTTTCTTTTTTCTTTATTTTTCATTTTCTTTTATACATTCAATCATATTATTATTTGGCTTACAAAGTGGATATTTCAACAGGTGAACATTTCTCCCTAATACAGTTGATAAAACTACAAAATATCTTCAACAGATAATACCACATTTCTTTGTGCCATTAATGCTTTGCCTCCCTATTTTTCTTCTGAACATCCTTCCTCAGACCCTCCTCTTTCACACACACTATATCTGGTATTTACAACTATATACTTTGTTTCTATATCCTTTAGTCAATTAGTTTCAGTGCCTCTCCTTCATAGCCTGGCTTGCTTCACTCAGCAGTAAATCTTCTATATTAATCACTTCCTGTCAAAAGCCAGGGTTCTGTTGGTTTTTTATGGCTGAATAGTATTCCATTGAGTGTATGTGCCACAGTTTTTCTATCCATTCATCTGTTCATGGGCATTTGGGTTGTTTCCATGACTTAACAATTGTAAATAGTACCGCAGTAAACATCAATGTGCAAGCATTTTTACAATTAAGTATTATTCTGTCCTTTGGGTAGATACCAAGGAGTGGGATTGCTGGATCATATGGTAGTTCTCTTTGTAGATTTTTGAGGAATCTCCAAATTGTTCTCTACAGTGGCTGGACCAATTTACATTCCCATCAGCAGTGTAAGAGAGTTCCCCTTTGACCACACCCCCACCAGCACTAATCATGGCATCTGCAAATAGATTTTTTCACCTCTTCTTTTCCTATTTGAATGCCTTTTATTTTTCCCTCTTTTCTGATTGCATTGGCAAGGACTTCCAGTACTGTATTGAAGAGGAGTGGAGAAAGTGGGCATCCTTGTCTTGTACCAGTTTTTAGTGGAAAAGCTTTCAGCTTTTCCCCATTGAGGATGATGTTCACTATGAGTTTTCCACAGATAGCTTTTATTGTGTAGAGAAATGACCCTTCTGTGCTGATTTTGCTGAGAGTCTTGATCATGAAGGGATGTTGTATCTTGTCAAATGCTTTTTCTGCATCAATTGATATGACCATATGGTTTTTATCTTTCTTCCTGTTAATATGGTGTATTACATTTCTGGTTTTGCATATGTTTTGTTTTTTTGTTTTGCTTTTGTAGAAGTTTTTGCTATAGGGCCCATGTGCTCGCCAGAAAGGCAGAGAGAGACAGAGGGACAGAAAATGAGAAATCACCCCCCAGGGGTATGGCCACACTGCAACCCCTTCTCCTTCTTGGGATCCTGGGCACGCAAGCACACATGCCCAGAGTGAGTTTAAGCCGCCAGGTCTGGGACTCAAACCGCGGTTGACTACATGGGAGTCCAGCAACATAGCCATTACGCTAACTGCTGGTCCCAGGTTTTGCATATGTTCAAACAAACTTGCATTCTTGGAATAAAGTCTACCTGATCATGATGTATAAGTTTTTTTATAAGTTGTTGGATATGATTTGCTAGTATCTTGTTGAGAATCTTTGCATCTATATTCATCAGGGATATTGGTCTATAATTGTCCTTCCTTGTCCTGTCCTTAAGGTGATAGAGGCTTCATAGAATGAATTAGGGAGAGATTCACCTTTTGGATCTTTAGAAATAACTTGAGCAGAATGGGGGTTAACTCCTCTTTGAAAGTTTTGTAGAATTCAGAGGTGAAGCCATCAGGGCCAGGGCTTTTCTTTGTTAGGAGGTTGTTTATTACTGATTCAATCTCCTGGCTTGTTATGGGCCTATTAAGTCTTCCTTATCCTCCTGGCACAATCTAGGTAGATTATATGTGTCTAGGAATTTGTCCATCTCATTCATATTGTCTTGTTTCTTGGCATACAGATGTTCATAGTATCCTCTAATAATGTTTTGTATTTCTACTATATCTGTTGTTATTTTGCCTGCTTCATTGCAGGATTCACCTGATTCCTTTCTCTCAATAAGTCTCACTAGTGGTGTATCAATTTTGTTTATCTTTTCAAAGAACCAGTTTTACTTTCATTTATTTTCTGTATAGTTCGCTTATTTTCTATTTCATTTATTTCTGCTCGTATCTTTATTATTTCCTTTCTCCTGGAGTTTTATGGATCTTTTTGCTGTTGCTTTTCCAGTTCTCTGAGGCATGATGTTAGGTGATCCATTTGCCTTCTTTCCATCTTCCTCTTAGGTGCACTAACTGCTATGAACTTCCCTCTTAATGACTGCTTTAGCAGTGTCCCAAAGATTAT